GGAGGGGGGAGGGGGTTGCCCCAAAGTCTGTACAACGGGGGCCATGTGAGGTGTCAAACAAAAGCTCACGTCCTCCTGATTCTGCGTGCGCTACCCGTGCACTTGTGCGATGTCTGCGTGCGGAGTTATGCACGGGGGCTGTTCTCGGGGGCCTGCAATCGTGCGGCTTCTGCCTCTTTCCCCGGCTCTTTGTCCCTCGCCAGCCTGCAGCTGGGAAGGAGCCCGGCCCGGTCTCTGCGGAACGGATGCAAATGAGGGCCTCATTTGCATGAGTCACGATCTCATTTGCATCTTTGCCGCCGCTCCGGTGGGGCCCAAACACCGAGCCGTGGGGGACGTTTTCTTTTGGCACAAAAGCCCCTTTTCCCGCCAGCCCTGCGTTTCGGGGGAGAAGGGGGGAGGGGCGGGCGCAGAAAGAAAACATCCCCACGCCGTGTGTGTGCGCAAAAGCAGCGCCGCCGAAATATGCAAATGAGATCGCAGCTCATGCAAATCAGGCCCTCGTTTGCATATTTTTTGCCGAGAACTCTCGTACACCAGGGACTTTTAAGCTGGCTGTTGGCAACATCTCTGCTAGAGCCGGCATCAAGAGCTGGGAGATTCGCTGCATGGGACGTATTCTCCTTAACCACCTCTTCTTTCCTTTAGTAATAAACCTTTCGATTTTAGCTCTAAAGGATCGGCCCAGCGCGATCTTGGGGGTAAGATCCAGAGTGTAAACTGCCGGGGGATCTGTGCCTGGTTCTTTGGGACCAGGAGGACCCGTTCGGGATGGGTGAAATTGGTTCTCTAGCCCCTCACCTGTGTCTCAGGCCTGGGCCCAACTGCGGCCCAGGGAAAGCTGGGGTGTCAGACGGGTTTTGCTTGGGAGGTTTCCTGCTGGCCGGAATGTATCTAGCTCCTTTTTGAACCCTATTAAAATCCTGATCTTCACTACCTCCTCCAGCAAGGAGTTCCACAGGTTGTGCGCGGCACGAAGAACACCTTCCTTTGATTTCTTTTAAACCTGCTGCCGATGATTTTAATTTGGGCTACCCCTAGTTCTTGTGTTTGGAGTAGGGGGCTTGGAAGTGACCCCCCGCCCCCTCTTTTGGGACCTCTGCCCACCTGTCTTGCGGATCAACGTCTGGGAACCGAGAGGAAGAAATTGAAGCCACCGCAGGACTTGAAGGGCAGAAATTTAGGTCCCAGCACCCCAAGCCGGCTTCCCAGCAGCTCCCTTCCACAAGCTGAACCCCTCAGTTGTGGCATAGGGGCCCCCACTACTAGCCTGAGTCCCCTAGTCTCTGGTGTGTGAAGGGACGTGCGTGTGTCGCACTTGTGTGCTGCCCGCGACTGATTTTTCTGTGGGTCAGCGGTTCCCCCGCAACCCAAAACAGGTTCCCTGCCCTCGCAAGGACCGCCGGCTATTCATCCGCATGTGTGCGCCCCACTCCCCCCCCCC